ACATCAAAATGGAAAGATTGCGAATGCGCACCCCTCGGGAGGTGTTGTCTAGTGATATGCAGCCCACAATCGAGAGACTTGGTATATCTGGTTGCGGAAGTGTTTTATTAAACGGGCCCCTACTGTAACACAGGGATTTCCACACCAAATGAGCAAGCTGTCATAGTATCTCTTTTACTTTTCGCAGAAAATGAAACACAGAAATTGTTGTTATTTTTCATGTTTTACCATAAAATATTTCTTGAAATCTTTATTTCTGCAAAAAATACGGTAGACAATGGGCATCAGGATGGCATGCCGGCGTTAAAAATGCAAGAATGTATTTGATGTAAGAGATTTTTACTCGTGATATTTCGGTTTTCAATTTGATTCGCTAACAAACTGAAGCAGGGCAGGCCTTTGCTACACGACCTAGCTCTTTTCGGCGGTTCGGTGAGTAAAGCGATGACCCATTACTGCATCTTGTCCACGAGTTTCAGGATGAATCCTGCGAGCAGCTATAACAAATTCTGCCATTTCTCTCGTTCCAGCTGTTCGATCCGTTGCTGCTGAAAAAAAAGCTGATATGCACCTGACTCTAAAAAGTTGCCATAGTAAAATTTTTGCGTTTGGGCTGGTGTTTCAATTTTTGTTGAAAATTTTGCACCCACAGAAACAGAAAGAGAGACAGCGTATTCAGAATTGCTGACTTTAAAAATTTTTCGCAGCAAAATCATTTTGTTTTGTTAGAATATTGGGTGTTGCGCGGGATTTTGCGTCTAGAAATCAATTAAATGCTGATTTTAAACAGTTAACATTGCAAAATCATTTCATTCGGATTAAAAATTTAATTTTTGTTCTAAAATTTTCTTTTTTGATGAAAAGTTACTAGTTGGTGTGCGTAGATAATTTTAATCGATTTTATAGTTTTGTCTGACTTTGCAATCGTATAAACTGTTTCTCATTCGTGCCAGTGTACAACTATACAACTGTGGGAGTATTTTCGGACAGGTCGCAGTTCAGTTAGCTCAGCGAATACCTCGGTAGAAGTTGAGTTGTGCTGATATGACATCCTATCGATGGTTTTTTTTTTCTACCACAGGAGAATCAAGACTGTTGGGGCAGTTGATATAGATTAGTGGTATTACTGGATGGCTTCTGCACAGTTCCTTTCCTTGTTACGGGATTTCTAGAGAAGCAAGAGCCTGGGAACGGGGAAAAGTGTGCAACAGTGTGCAAGAGGTTAAGCGGTCAATGAAATTAGCTTATGTCTGATGGGGATGCGCTGGTTACTTTTACGTTTCGTAGAAACGTTAAATTATTTTTGCAAAACTGCACTGTTTTGTACGCCTGAAAAATGGAAAATCAACGGACCTGTTGCTCGATGAGCTTTTCCTTCGCCATCAGCTTATCACGGAGCACGGCCACCGCTCCGCAATCGTATTTCCGGCTGTTCAACTTCCCATTGAGTATTCGGATCTCTTCTCGGTACTCTTCCACTTCCTGCTCCAGCTTCGCCAATCTCCTCAGCAAGTCGTCAAACTGAAAAAGACACAACCTACGCAGTGGCGTATGTGTGTGTGTGTGTGTGTGTGTGTGCGTGTGCATGTGCGCGTGTGTGTGCGCACGTGTGTGTGTGTATGCATGTGCATGTAGCTAAAGTTCGCGATTGATTGCAGTGCTTTCTCTTTCCTATTCTCTAGCATTTTGAAAGCTGTGAGACAGTCCAGAATTTCGCTTCAACTGGCCTATTTCGTCAGTAACCGAGAGATTTTTCGTGTGTGTAGGAGGAATTTCATACTTTCCAGCTAGTTTTAGCTTAATTTTCGTAAATCAAACTAAATCAATACAATAGAAATGCCAGTCTAGCGGTAAAACCATATGTAA